CAGTGGATTAAAAGTTATTCGCGGTTAAATAATTTTGGAATTTTTAATAGTAAATTCCAAAAATCCGCCGATATGTAACCAATATTCTATTTTGCAGAAATAATTTTTTGTTGATTTCTAACGCGTAATAATAACGATACACTATGGTGAATGCAAATGAATGGTTAAATCAAAAAATTCCAAAGAACCAAAGAGCACAGATAACTCAACTTAGTATCTACAAACATTGTCAAATCGGTCATACTACACATAACAATGGTTGCAATTATTGCAATAATAGAAACCAAAATTCTGATTCAGCCGCCCCAAATTATCAATTCTACAATACTACTTTGGAAGGAGAGTTAGATCTTAATGACTTTGTTAATTTGCAGCAACTATATATCTGCGACCAGCATCAAGATTTAAATTTAAAGACCGATAAATGTAAAAGTTTAACTCGACTAGTAATTTATAATTTTCAGTCGGTTAAAATTATTCTATATACTCAACGCCTTGTTGGTGATTTAGCGTTTGAGAAAATTTTAGATTATCAAATAGCTATTACTAAAAATAAGTTGATGTGGTTAGATCTTTTAATATATTATCAACAAGAAGTATTACAAAATGACAACACATTTTTCCGAAAAGAACTAGAGAAAGCTAAAAATGAATTGTCTAATGTGCTTACTATTGAGGAAATTACGTAAAACGGTGGAAATTAATGAATTAGAAGTTCAATTAAATAATCATAATCGTAAAATTCGAAGAAAATACTGTATTTTTTTTGGCATCATCTTATTCCTTTTTATCTTTTACATTTACGTGTTTTTCTTTAGTTTACTGTCTTTCTTTACTATGCTGTCTTTATCTTTTGTTATCCTTGTAGTTGTTACCCTTGTAGCATTGTTATTCTTACCTTCCAAAAATGTTGTAAACTCTTCTATGACTATCACTATCGATATTAGCCTTAAATATTGATTACAAATAATTTTCTTACTGTTTGCGCGTCAAAAAAATTCAAATAATAAAGATTCAAATTTTGCTTTATCAGATTTCCATATGAAATACTTAATTTTAAAGCACGAAAAAAATTTACGATACACATGATTCTAGTCACTAGTAATAGATATTTTTATGTAAAGCATAGAAGCTAACAAAATGACGTTGTAAATAATTATTTCATATATTTTTCTGAGATTTCGATAACAAGTTATAACTCAAAAACCTATGATCTTAGAATTTAACAAATTTTAACGTTAACGTTAACATGCCCTTTATGCCTATTTGCGACAGGATACATAAATTCAAAATTTTGCAATTTAACCTTCAGAATACGATATTACCTCGCGTTTTTGAAGAAAATTTTCGAATAGACTATAAAAGACATTTCACGTTGATTCTAATGTAAAATTTCAATCTATAATTTATAAGATTAATTAACATCATTGTATAGTATTTTTAAGCTTACTGAATTACATTTACTTGACTTACATAAAATTCGTACATTTTTTTCTTCACCGAAAGATGATAAGATATTTTGGAATAGTAGCCTGATTTAAACACGATAACAATAAGATTATTATATTAAAAGAAAGTAAGTTCTTGATAGAAACAAATAAAATAGTTTATGGATTGCATACCGCATCACAATCAACTACTATTGTGGCATCACCATATTTAGCAACAACCTCGACGACAAACATTGCGTTCGTAATAGAACTATAGCGATCACAATAGTAATATGAGGTGTATGAACTACTGGCAAACCACATATCTTAAAAAAAAAAAAAAGAATGTAATTAATTAAACCTAATAATATGATATATGAAAAGGTTATGAAAAACACTTACGACGTTTATCAGAGTAGTATTTTGAGGCATATTTTGTTTTGTTACCTTCTCGCACAATTCCACATACTCCACATCCTTCATTGCAAAAAGTATCTTGTGGATTTTTAATAAATCGCTTGGGATCGCATAGAGATTTTGTGCCATGAAACATTATATATGTCGACATAAAACTACTGTTCCGCCTTTTATATGCTGTATGATCTCTAATAAGTTCAATTGGCATTTTCAACTTCAATATTCCAAGTATAGTGTTGTGTGGAAGTCCTGTGTGAAAATAGTCCGCGACCCTGAGATAATCTTCGTCATAAGTTGATAATATCGTCATTTCAGTCTTTTCAATTATGGAGTCAGTCTTTGGGACTGAAAATATCTATTTTTTTTGAATTAAGTGTTAGCTTATCTATAAATTCTGTTAACATTAACAGTAGTGAAATATCTAAATCCTTTCACAAACGAAGGCCACAAGTCTTATTTTTAATATTCATTCGCAGTTCAATATAAAGTATTGTTATTGAAGCTATAGTTCGTTCTTAATAAGGATGCAGACATAGGGAATATCGACTTTAATTATATCACATTAGAAGACAACCATAACTATAATCTTGCTGCAGAAAATCTTATAATTGATATATAACCTTGTCGTAACTTACCTACTCCAATATGTCAGCACCTCTGCTCATTTAAATTTAATTATAAAGTTTTATTTACCAGGCCGATTCTCCGCTTTATAAAATAAGCAATCAAAATCAGAGAAATCCCTAATAATTGAATAAATACATTTAATATTGTAGAAAACGATTTAAAATAAAGATTGAAACATCTAAAACGCTTATACGGTACCAATAATTGCTTTGGCGTTCTCTGGTATCCAAACTTTACAGAAATTTATTTTATGGATAATATGGGGTTTAAGTTGGCAAGCAAGGGAACGTCTTGGATTCTTCGAGATAATATATATGTTAGTTTTACGGCCAAACCTAAAAATAAAATAAATTAATAAAAAATATTTATAAACAGTATTTCGTATTACAATTTAAAATTTACTCTTTTTCATATGTAACTTCAACGTCATCATCAGATTTCAAGTATTCTAACGCAAGACGAGTAAACATTTCAAAATCCTGGTCGGTATCCTGAAGTATTATTATCAATAGCAAACGAGCCATTAGTTAAATCACATTAAATACGTAGTTATATATTGTTTGACATTACAATTTCACTTCATCAAATGTGCACACCCGTAACTAAATTTAAAAAATTACCATAATTACTAATTTCTTGTTACGAAGTGGAACAAGGAGATTTTGAAACAATAAATTCTCTCGAAGACCATTTTCGCATTCAAATTTTCCAGTTTCTTCGGCAACAATACTTTTAAGTAGCTCGGTATACATTTTAACTTTTCGCGCAAGACTAAGATCAAGTATACATCTACTGGTAAAAGGTTTAAGCCATTGAATCGAAGATGATACTAATATGAAACCTTTATCACACGAGATGGCGTTATCCTTTGAACAATGAACATGAGATGGGCAAGGAATGCAAGTAGCCTAGAAAAAAGAACCTGTGATGTTAAAGACAAATTAATATATATACAACAAAATTGTTTAATTAAGATCACTGATCATCAATTCTTACTTTTGGTACTCCATCGTAATTGACTGAAACATTCGAAAAATCAGCATCATCACAAAAGCTAGCACCCAAATCATAGTTCATCAAAAATCCAATTAAAATTGTCAACATTACAAAAACTACACCATAACGAAAAGTAATTGACCATCTACGTGGTGATGAACGAACTGACTATATCATAACAATAGGATATATTTTAATTCAATTCATGATAAAAAAAATTTAAAATCTCTTAAGAAATATACATATGAATCTGGTTTTATTTCTGAAGTTAAAGTAAGTCCAGTTTCCTTTTCTCGTAAAGGTATAAGCGGTCGAATTTGAGTATTAAAAATTCTTATTAAACCAGCCTTCTTTTCTCTACCAGTATAATGTATATTATGAGCATCTAATATTTCACGCAACCGTGCGATAGTAATTATTTGAGGTTGAAATCCTGGATCCATATAATCTTTATACGAATTCATTGTAAAATATTTCTGAGAAAAAAAAAAAATCTACACAATGATTGATCCTGTTATTAAATAATTTCCAATTCCTGCTATTTAATTGTATTGAAATGATTTCATACTTTTTTAATGAATACGAGAATTTTTTATATTTGATGAACAAAAGAAGTTTCCAAAAGAATTATTTGTAACCTTGTATAAAATGCAACCACGTAAATAAACATGATTAAGCATGATTATTTAAATTTTTTCGGAAATACTGTATGACATTCCGACCAAATATATAACTAATCGATACAAGATACAACAAGGACTTTTACAAAAAATTCATGAATGCTGAAATGACAAGTATTCTTATAGCTACCGCAGTTAGAAATCATAAACCTTTTTTTACTTTCACGAGGCATCACTTAGTAGAGTCCAAAAATCGAAGTCGGAGTGAGAATAATCTACTAAAATAATTATTAATTTTTTTTATCTTAACTATTTTGGTAAGCCTAAAATAGCTTTAACAAATTAGGACTTTTACCATGACAATGACTTCTCGATTAGTCAATTAAATAGTTAACGTTAATATCGGACTATATATAAATATATATTACGTCCTGATATTTCTATAATTAAAAAAGTTTTTAAATCCGATATAAATTGCTTCCTTATCTGGATCAGATGCTAACCAAAATGCATTTTTAGAGATAATTAGCGTTAGCATTAAACATTTTTATCACTATAAAGAAATCGATTTTTAACTATACAATATAACCCGATTTCATTGGTCAAGAGTCACATGGGAAGGATCTTCTAGAAAATTTCTAGAATCACTTATGTTGGCAATTTTATCGGCCAAACAAAATTTGGTTAGCCTTTTCGGCCAAAAAAATATATGAATTTGGCCGAATTGGCCGTTTTTTGGCGGCCAAAAATAAGTTTGGCCGGTTAAATTGCCAACACTGTTATGTCACCATATCTCTGTACTAGTAAATTGGAAATTTTTTTATCTATTTAAACCGTTATACCGAATTTACACATGCGCTTCCGAACTCTTTTTAAGCTCGTAGCTATGTATAGTACATATATTATAGATGAAATTCTGAATTCGAACCACTTAAGTTCTATTCTAATTTTAAAATGTATCTTTACAATAAGGCGGCATCCATAATTTACGTTAAACCAGTACTGTATTGTATAGAAATAGGGATCTTTGATGATAATGCCATATGGTATTATTTTTGTAAGATTACTAGTTTAACGTAAATTATGGATGCTGCCTAATTTAATAATTTACAAAGTTTCTGACTTAAAATGCCGACCCAAAAAAGAAATACTCTTTTAAAACATTTTCAATGATTTAAATAACTTGCTGGAATACAGTAGAACTATACATGTTGCCTAAATCTCATACTATTATAGCTTGGGTTTGTTCCAAACTCTGACCAAATTGATATCTCATAATTTTATTAACTTCTTCATTTAAACAAATAGTATATATTTTTATATGTAATATATTTGCAAATATCAAGATTATTTTTTTTTGGGTTTAATTATTTATAAATGGGGTTGTTTTTTGGTGTATGGATTTGTCTGGGGTTTGCCAACAAGCGTAAGTATAACATAACATCATTACTTCACAAAGTATTTGAAATTACCAATCAAAACACCATCGTTTCGATTTAAAAACAGAATAATTACTTTATTTTCTGCGGTGATGTTTAATAAACAGCACCACAGAAACCGACTCGCTATGATGTAAATGAATTTATGCCACTGGGAACGACAGAATATTAAGGTCTTGAAGTCTGTCAAAATAGATTATTAGTAATTGAAGAACAAGAATGCAGTCTACTTCTGCTACAACTAGTACGCTCGAAATGTAATTATAAGAAAGATCTCTAAAATGTTAACGCTCCAATTTTTTTATGCAGAATCTTCTAGAGAATAAACTTTTAAAGATAAAACGTTAGATAATAATGTAATGGTTTTAAACTATCGTATATGTTGCATTGGGGTGCGCGGTATACTATGTAAATCAAAACTATATGTGGTCATATAGTAAAACTTATTAATGAATATTTTTGTAAATATAGCAAAATTTAAATCGAAGAACTACCCTAACGGTTCAATAGATTTGGATAAAATTTTGCAAAGACTAGTATTATGTCTCTACGAACAAAGCTATAGAGCCATTTCTTTTATTAAGCATGAAAAATTTTAATCTACTAAGTAATTTTTTTTTTTCTTAAAAAAAAGAAAAACAAGAGATAACCTAATTTAGGCTATTTTTTAAAGAAATGACTCTATAGCTTTGTTCATAGAGATGTAATACTA